GGAAAAAATATCATGCTTGGAGAGGTGGAGGATCAGCAAAAGAGAGGAAGACTCTCAACAAGACGGACTGACAAAGTGACTGTAACTGTGCCCTGACACACAGCACAGATGGGGCACATGGCACAGGACCAGGCAAGGTTTCAGTCTTTGTACTTCAGATCAATATGAGTTCGAATCAATTCAATGGCACTTAATAGCAACAATACAGGAGACTCAAGTTTTGGATACCCAGCCAAAGCACCTCAACTATGGTCACCACCTATCTGTCAGTGGAGGCTTATATGTAACTACAATGCTAGAAAAGTTTCAAAAGAGGTTCCAGACTAAGATGAGAAAGAAAGGCCTGGCTATCTACTTCCAAAAATTAGCCAGTAAAAACCCTACAGCTCACAATAGTCTGATCCTATTATACATACAGCAGCATAACAATACCGCCTTAACTGGTATGCCTAGGCATGTGCACTGGTTTCAGGAACTGTTAGACCTTGCTTAAACCGTGGAGTCTTAAACTCAGCAGTCTTCTACACCCTCTTCATGGCCACGTCTTTTTTCTTCTGCTTGGCTTTCCCACATGACCCCAAAGGAGCATCGGAGTTCAGGCAGCCTGGCCCCAGAACTCCCACCTGTCATTTCTATGTAACAAACCTGTGTTCGTTATCCATGACTGAAGAATGAATCATCCCAAATGTAGTACCTTAAGCAATACCATTTATCAGCTGAAGGTGTTGTTGTTCAGGAGTCTGGACGTGACGCAGGTGGTAGTATGCTCTGGGTCCTCACAGCGCCAATGCTGGGACGTTGACTGGGCTGTGCTCGCTTCTGGAGATTCTGGAAGAATCCATGTCCATGTTCATTTAGTCAGTTTTGGCTGTTCTTTTCCAAGCTCATTCAAACTGTTAGAAAATTCCTTTTCTGGTGGCTGTTGAATTCCCTATTTTCCTGCTACCTGGGAGCACCACTCCAGGAGGCATCTCGTCTCCACCATAAATACAGAATGCAAGCATTTGCTTCCTTCCAGGAAACGACTCCCTCTTCTGTCCTCACATGATTCGAACTCTCTACTTGAAAGGGCACATGTGATTAAGTCAGATCTACCTGGATAATCTGTTTTAAGGTTGAATGTGCCCTGTAACACAACTTAATCATAGAAGTTAGAGCTACTCTACGTCATTTTCACAGTCCCATGGATTATAGAGGATCTGTATGCGGGCAGGGGACTGGATACCTTAGGAGTAATTTGACCCCAGTCTAACCTTTTAAAGACTGAATTGTTTTCTTTAATTAAAAAAAAAATTACATGTTTTCCGTAATGGAAGTTATTTTTAATGAAATGGAGGGGGAGATTTAAGGTAATACATACAGATTTTTCTACAACTGGTATGCTCTGAGGGTCTTCAATGTTGGGGTTAGTGGGCTGTAGCCCCTTTCTTCAGATTCACATAATTATGCAGTTCACAACTGAGAGCGTCATGCAGTAAAATGGGATAGCCGCTTCCCACTAAAGCTCAGAGGTGAAAAATGTTGGTGGTTCTGTATGGATCATAGGTCTTGAAAGGGTTCATACCACTTCTCTCATACAGCTTCAAGTTTCCATTTTCCTTTTTCACCTTTATAAAATCTGTAACCCAAAGGCTATATGGGACAGGTAGCTCAGGAAAGAAGGACCAGAAGAGATCAAACAGGGTGTCAGCCTGAACCACAGAATTCAGTGTTTTCTGATTCCTTCTTCACAGTTAGGTATTGTCACCTCCTCCCCAAAGGAGCCACCATTCTTTGTTGTTTCTTCTGAATTTGGTGGCTTCTGTGCTGCTGTGATGCTGAATGCTATGCAGCTGGTATTTTAAATACCAGAAGGGTCACCCATGGTAAATAGTTTGCAATGGAGCTTCCAGATTAAGCAAGATCTTTATAATAGAAAGACAATCTATTTATGAGAATTGAGGTAGTTGTTATGTGCTGTCAAGACTCCTGCAACTCACAGCGATCCTATGTACAACACCTCAGAAGCCTCTCTTGTCCTAAGCCAGTTCCACTGACTCTGACACACCTACCTCCATTGCCCCAGTTACTGTATCAATCCATCTCATCCGGAGTCTTCCACTCCTGTGTTGTCCCTCCACCCTTCTGAGCATGATGTCCTTCTCCAAGGACAGGGCCCTCCTGGCCACGTGCCCAAATTATGTGATATGGAGCTTCAAAATCCTAACCTCCAAGGAGAAACTTGGTTTCACCCTCTCCAAGACAGACTTATTTGTTTTCTAGGCCATCCATGGTATGTTCAAGACTCTTCTCCAGCTCCACAACTCAAAGACATCAATTCTTCTGTCATCCTTAGTCATTGTCCAGCTCTCTGATGCATAGCAAGTCATTGTGAAGACCATGACCTGGATCAGGTGCAGCTTAGTCTCTAGACTGACATAGTTGGTTTTCAGTACTCTGGAGAGGTCTCTGACAGCAGATTTTCCCAGTGCTATTCAACTTTTGATTTCCTCACTGCTGGTGCCAAGTCTGTGGAGCCAAGCAAGCTGTAATTGTTAACAACCTCAGTCTCTCTTCCATCATGGTGCTGCCAATTGGCCCAGTGGTGAGAATCCTTGTCTTCTTGATGTTATATACTCCAGTCCTTTACCAGAACAGCAGCAAGCGCTTCAGCTCCTCCTCAGTTTCAGCAAGCAAGGCTCTGTCATCAGCATAATGTAGGTTGTTGTTGAGTTTATCTCCAATCGTATTGCTACATTCCTCCTCATAAAGGTCTGCTTCCCGAATGATCTGTTCTACATATAGATTGAAAAGGTACAGAGACAGGATGCATCCCTGACACCTTTTCCATGCAATGTTTCCTTGCTCTGTTCTGAGAACTGCTTCCTTGTCCAAGTATAGGTTTCACATGAGTACAATCGAGTATTCTAAGATTCCCATTCTTCTCAAGGTTAGCCACAAATTGTTGTGATCTATATAGTCAAATGACATTGCATAGTCAATGAAACATAGATAGACATTTCTCTGGCACTTTTTGTTTTCTGTCAAGATCCATCTGACACTGGCAATATTATCTCTAGTGCTATAACCTCTTTTAAACCCAGCTTGTATTTCTAGTAGGTCTCTGTCAATCTACTGTTCCAGTTGTTTTTAAAAAACCTTCAGCAGGATTTTACTTTTGTGTGATATGAGTGATATTGTTTGATAATTTCCACACTCTGTTGGGTCATGTTTCTTTGGAATGGGAATAAATATGGCTCTCTACCAGTCAGATGGCCAGCTGGTTGTCTTTCTGATTTCTTGGTGAAATCTGCTGAGCACATCCTGGGCAGTTTATTTAAATATGTCAATTGGTATTCCATCGTTTCCTGGGGCCTTATTTTTTTTTTTTTTGCCAAGTCCCTTCAGAGCAGCCTGATCTTCCTCCTTCATCACCATTGGCTCTTGATCATATGTCATTGCTTGAAATTCTTCTGTGTCATCCAATTCTTGTTGGTACAGTGACTGGGTATACTCCCATCTTCTTGTAGTGCTTCCTGCATCATTCAGTAGTCTGCCCACAGCATCCTTAAGCATTGCAACTCATGGTTTGTATTTGTTCTTTAGTTCCTTCAGATTTCATTATATTACTTCCCAAGTAGCCCTTTGAAATCTTCTTTTCAGCTCCTTAACTTCTTGATTTCTTCCCTTTTCTTTGGCTTCTTGGCGCTCTAACACAATATTCAGAGTCTCTTCTTATATCCATTTTGGTCTTTTCTTCTTCTGTCTTTAGAATGACATTTTGCATTCTTTGTGGATGATAATCTTGATGTCCTTCCACACCTCATCTGGTCTTTGTTTATTACTGTTCAAGGCCTCAAGTCTGTTCCTGAGTTGGTTTTTAAATTCAGGTGGGATAAACGCAGGGTCACATTTTTATTTCTGTAGATTTGATTTTACTTTCTTTAGCTTTAATTTGAACTTGTATGTGTGTAGTTGACAGTCTGTTCTGCAATCAGCACCTGGCCTACTTTTTACTGCTGATATTGAACTTCTCCAATGGTTCCTTCCCCATATGTAATCTGTCTGATTCCTGTGCATACCATCAGGTGAAATCCACTTGTATAGCCTGTGTTTATGTTTCTTATAAAAGGTATTTGCTATGAAAAAATCATTGATTGTGTGGAATTCTATCATCACAGAATATTGTCTGAGAATTAAAATTCACTTATTTTTGGTGTATCATCAGGAAGGAGCAATCACCATGTTTGATAAAGCAGAAGGTCAGTGAAAGTGAGGGAAACCTCCACTGGGATGAAAAGACATAATGGCCACAACAGTAGACTTGGACATATCATTGATTATGAAGCTGGTTCAGGACCCAGCAATGTTCCATTCTGCTGTGCGTAATATCCTCAGGAATCCAGACAACTTGAAAGCACCTAACACTAATGAACCATTGCAAAACTTAGCACAGAGATAGATAGATGAGAGAGAGAGAGAGAAGATTTTATTTGGTTTTATTTGATTTGATAGATTTGCCAGAGGAACTCATTCTTTCCAGTCAGCACTTTTCCCCTCAGAAAGCCCAAAGCAGTTTACGAAAATGCTACCTATAGTAGCAGCCCTCTTACTGCCCAACAAGGAAGGTGGTTCAGTGGATGGGTGAGTGGGTATAGGTGGAGCTGCCTGGGCACCTGCACTCCCTATCAAGAAAAGCAGCATGGTGGAGGTGGCAAGATGCTACTGGCTGGCATTAGAAGCAGGCAGGCGGGAGAGAAAGAGCAGTATAATTGAACAAGCAGCAGAAGGGAAAAGGAAAGGAAATAGAACAGAGATATATAAAGAGGAAGGAGGTGGAAAATGAAAAGACCTGGAACAAAAGAAGAATGGGGGAAAGAAAATGAAACAGACCAATCAGGGACATTTGTGGACAAAATGCCCCCAGGAGTGGTTTCCTATTGTATTCAGTGCGACTAGCCCACTGGGCAGCCTTCCAAATCCTGACAATAATTTTCAGCTTTGCATCTCCCTTCCCTCAGGGAACCTAGAACAAGCCAATGAAGAACTGCGTGCAATAATCAAGAAGATATGGAAGCGGACCAGCATGAAGCTGCTGGACCAGGTGGTGCCCCCTGCAGGTGGTGAGTGTCCCCCGGTTCCAACACCAACACTTAACCACCCTGGCATTTCTCTGCCAATCCGTTCTCCAGCTATGACACCTTCAAAACTGGGGAAATAGCCTGTGAGGCTTGTGTTCTTGAGTCTACTGGGCTTTCCGGGACCTTCTTCCTCAGACTTTGCTGTAGGACTCAAAGGCCCTATTTGTTAGAAGGGACTGAGGTCTGATGGCCTTCTTAAACTCAGATTCAGAGTATCCCATTAGATTGAAATCTGATCCAATTCTGCCTTGTACAGATGGGGCCAGCCAAGTCTTCTGATGCTTAGATATCTGCCTTATACAGATGGGGCCAGCCATGTCCTCTGATGCTTAGATATTTCACAAAACTTCCAAAGAAATATAACAAAATACAGGTTTCCTTTTCAATCACTGGGCTGACCGCTGTGACAGTAATAGAGTTCTGAAGAAGAATCACATGAGGGCGCTTCTTGGTTGAAATTCTTTTGCCACTCCTAAGATATCATGTTCTACCTCATCAAACCTGTAATCCCTTTTTGTAACTAACAATTTATAAGGCCCCTTGTAGAAACCTAAATGAAAACTATAGATAATATAACCTTCCTACATATCTGATTACCAAAATATCTGTATAATGCTTTCACTCTGAAAGATAATATATTAATTTTTTAAAAGATCACTTATTAAAATCAGTACATATATTTCAATATATAAAAGCTCAGATGCAACAATATGACAGAAGTTATATAATGAAATTCTTGCCCACGTCTATTTAGAATAATGTTTGTATTTAAAAGAAATGAAGCAACACTGAATATAATTTTTTTTGTTTTGCAAATAGCTTGCCTGCATAAATAATGCAGTTGTGCATAGAAACTCATGTGTGAGAAAGGTTTTTGGGACTATAACTGATGCATTTTATTTATGTCAAAGACAAATATTAGAACCAAATAAATGTATTTGAAGAAATGTGTGTATAATATAACCTGCAGATGTAGGAACAAGGGTAAAGTAGAAACCTATCAGAAAAAGAAAACTCAACTATTTTCTACAAATAAAACATGATAGACTAGTGATAAAACAGCATCCTTCCAAAGGCAGAAAACTTTTGCAACCCAATCAAAGCAGTCCCCTCAAGTTCTACAATCATGAGTTTCACTGTACATGAATTTATACACATATATGCACATGTGTACATATATACTTGTACAGGTTTAGATATCATATATACTTGTACAGGCTTAGATGTATACATATACGTGCATAAGATTCCCATGGCTTTGAGTGATAGCTTCAAAAGCAGACTGGTACAGAAGGGTCAGACATAATGGTGACTCAGAGGCCACAAGAGGCATTACTATTAGAGATACAGTCTTCCAAAATGTAAGCCCTGGTTCGTCATGTTCAAACCCAAAAGTGTGCCCTCCCTCCCTCATTTGTATTCCTGGAAGAGTCCGGGAGACACTAAAATCATGTAGAAAATGTTACGTGTTCATCTATAAAACAGAGTTAAGACTCTAAGCTTGGGTAATTACAAGTGGGCTGCTTCCTGGCATGGGTATTTAGCAGAGTGTAAGAGTGCTAAGCTATTATTTATTGCAAAAATTTTTTTTCGCAAAATAACCTGTGTCAGCATCAGCCCCAAATCACTGTGACAATTAAATAATAATGCCCCAGATTTTTAAAAAATATTCCTTATAAGATGATTTCAACCCTGTTGAGCACCACAGGTTTTTTCACTGCTGCTGAGGACCACTTCCCAAAAAGAAAGCAAGACTACATAAAGCGTTACCTAAATAGACAGTATACCATCTAATGCTTTATGTACATTTATCAATTCTTACAGCCATCCTGTGGAGTTTATGTAAGGAACTAAACGTTTTAGAAGCAAAGTAGCTGACTAAAGGTCACATGGCAAATACTTAGCAGATTTGGACTCCAAATTCAGGGCTGAGGGACTCCAGTCTTCACTCTCTTTCCCCAGCCATGCAGACGGGGCTCATGGGTTTTCTCCTCCTGCAGTGATGCCCTCTCAAGGTGGAGGGTTCATCACTACCATGAATGTGGCTATTCTCAAGGGACAGCTAGAGTAGGGAAACCATTACTCTTTCTTTGCAAATAGCTAAGAGATGGAGCAAAGGGGCTGCTTATCGGACATGAAATGTTTCCCTTGGAGACTTCCTGGCTTCTCCACAATCTGATCCATTCCTGAGATGGAGATTATTTACATCGTGCCTAGTCTTGGGGTGCCCAGCAGTCCCGAGGTCCAAGCAAATCATCTAGTAAGAAAACACCATCATAACTGGTTTGAGAAAAAAAAATTCAGACTTAGAAAGAAGGCATTCCCTTTCATTAACCCATCCCTTCAACTCATGTGCACCTTAGGGGGCCTGGCCAATGCATAATGGCCACTTCAAACAATGGAATCAAATAAAAGCTAACAGTGTCACTTAAGTGAAAAAAGCAAGGAGGGGACAACATTGTCAATATGTTCCTTTTTCTATAACACCAGAGAAATAAACAACATATAGTTCCTTGTGCTACAGTAAGATTCTCTAGACAAATAATACAAAAATTAATATATCTGGTTAATTACTGGGCGATAGAAATAAGGCAGATATCAGTGCGGTAAGAGCAAAACTTTTCAGTAAATACCCATCAGTGCTTTATTTTTTTTTCTTTTTGAACCCTGTAAATAAAGCCTCTTAAAAAAGAAATTTAAAATTTGAATATTAAAAAATTAATGTCCAACTCCATTTTCCTGATACTCTTTAATTCTCTTTCCTTTCTTTGTACGTATTAGATGATGAGGTCACAGTTGGCAAGTTTTACGCCACTTTCCTGATCCAAGAGTACTTCCGAAAGTTCAAGAAGCGCAAAGAGCAGGGGCTTGTGGGCAAGCCTTCCCAGAGGAACACGCTGTCCCTGCAGGTGAGGGTCTAGAGGAGGAGTCCACAGCTCCAGGAAGCCCAGACGATTCAGAAGGAAACTTTCTGAGTGATCTCGGTCTTTCTAGATTTATGGGATAAAAGGGGAGTATTACTTTTCTGCCCACGAAATGCCCCTCAAAGCAATCCAAAAACACGTCTGAAATTTCAAGAGCGTTTGTTATATTATTTTCCATGCGTGGAGACTTTTCTCCTTCCTCAGGAAGGTGGTGAAGGAAGAAAAGTGCCGAGTTTCCCCTCCCAGTTGCTTTTTTTTT